AATTTTTTTTACTATTGTCCTGACCTCAACCCCTTTCCAGGAAACCTGTCCAGTTGTTATTTACCCTTTGAGTAAAGAAAAACGTCCTGGTATTTGTCCTGAAATGGCCCTTTGCAACTTTAAAACTGTGTCCTCTTGTTATTAGTATTCTGGGTTTATGTTTTCCATCTCATTTAGATATTTATATCTAAATTTATATCTAAATTTATTCATTATAAAATGAATTTTGACTGTGTATTTTATGGGTGAAATGTAGCAGCCAATTGTGCACAGCAGTATCCCAGAAATAGTGTTGGATTGAATGATCACATTTGGGGGGGTGGGAGAGGGATTGTTACCCCTGGAAAGTGATCTGCCAATCGACTAACATAGCTCATTGTTGAACTGGGAAATATACAAAAATGAGCTCGGATACTGGAGGATGACCTGCCCTCAAAGACGCTTAGCCATAGTAGAAAGAAGAAGAAAGCAAACACTTCTTTTTGAGAAGAGGGGAGAGCAAAAACCTGGTAAACGAATAAAAGGGTGAACGTTGTTATAAATGTAAATGTAACAATGGTTAGAGATTCAATATTGTGGAATGGATGCTGAAAACATAAAAAGTGACATAGAATAACGCAGAGCTAACCTAACTGCAATAACAAGTTTGATTTTGTATTCTGCGGCAGTGCTTGTGCATGGGGAATGTTTAGTAGCAAAGTGTTTTCCCTATTCCCACTATCAAAGCCACACCATGATAACGAAGATATTTTGAGTTGTAAAAGAATGTAAATATCTTCAAATTCCACAATTCTGTTATCTTCTCATGACAGCCCATGGAGTTGCCATGAGAAGAAAGGCACAGCAAGTGGAAAATCAGCGTGGATCTTTAACAGTGTTTATAATACATGAAAATAGGATGTTCTAATAATGAAAAAAAATTAACTGGTGCCATTCATATCAGGAAAACATCTCAACGTGCTTCACAGGATTTCATTGTAAAGTTTAGTAACTATATTTTGTCAAATGAAGCAGACAATTTGCACACAGCAATATCCCACAAACAACTGTGAAGTTAATGATCAATTTTATTTGGGGATTGATGGAAAGCAAACCACAAGATCGCAAGATCGGTTTGGATGAAGAAGGACTTTTGGCCCATTCAATCTCATCCTTACAGAACACCAACCTACCAGAACATCAAGCTGCTTTTACATACCTCCTTCACTTTTCAAATACTGCCTTAGGATCTTTAACGTCCACCTAGCCAGGCACATTAGACCTCAGTTTAAAGTCTTAACTGATGATGGCACTGCAGTGTGCTTTCAGCACTGCATTACAGTGTCAGACATCATTATGTGAATTTATAGAATCCACACTACTCCGACTCAGAGACAAGATTGCTACTAACTGAACCCAGCTGACATCATAATGTTAGTTGGAAACTGGGGTTGATTTGGAGTATTTCTTAATGGATTTCTGCATTATGAAATCCAGAGGTCTGTGACACTAATTTGTGGGATTATTATTCCAAGTCAATCTGTTACCTGTTTTTGGAGTTGGGCTCCCTAGGGTCACATAACTAGCATGACAAACTTCAATTGATGAAATGAGGTCCAGTTCAGACTCATATTTTTAAATTATGAAATCCGTTTCTTAGTTAAAAAATCCATTGAGAAGTAATCAACCCACTAGAATTATATGCTTTCTTATTTATGACTTCAAGAACCTCACTCTCACCTATAAGTCCCTTCCCACCCTAGAACCTCCCTATCTCTCTGACCTTTTCCTATGCCACATCTCTGTTTGCCCTCGGATATGGCTAACTAAGGCCTGTTGCATGTTTCCCATCCTGCTCTGTACCACCATTAGTGACTGATCCTTCAGTTATTTACACCCCCAACAACCAAAACCCACACTCTCCCTCCTTCCACTTCACACTCTTTCTATCTGTCTTTAAATGCTGCCTTAAAACATACTGCTTCGACTGTGCCTACAGTCACCACCTTTTGTCCCCCACCTCCCCACACTTCTTCCTTGATTGAGCTCCGACTCCATTATTATGAAGGGCTCTGAGACATTGTCGCACATGGTTTATGGTATATAAATACAAGTTGTTATTTATAATTTCTATAAAATTATCAACCAAGGATAAAATATAGCTGAATATTCTAGTGGTACTGGGTTTTTTCAACTGTTCGTCATGTAGCTTCATATGAACTACAGATGACCAGCCAATGTAGGATGTGGACAGATTTGGTCAGAAACGCTTGCTAATTCAGCAACCTATGTTTCGATGTTAAAAGGCAAGCAGTACTGAACCTCAATGGTCAAATCTTTTCTTTGGGTAAAGTGATACAGCCACCTATGTCCTGGTAAGCGGATCCAATCACAACACAACCTGATAGCCTGGCTGTAAACACAAGTGTCTAAAGTTGGCTGGTTAACTTTAGGCCACATGAGACCAGAAAAATCATTGTGGGGAAAAATGATAGGCATTATGTGATGCAATTGAAATTTTAAAGGAATTATTCACTGGTTGAATGATTTAGTTTAAACTGGCTTGTGATTTTACTCTGTGATATAGGTGATGATTAATATCGTTTGTACCGAAAGTTTTATCGTGTTATTCCTAAGGGAAGATGTAAACCTATGCAATACCAAAATACATTTATATAGCGGCTTTCATGTCGGGAGGATGTCTCAAAGTGTTTAACACTGCTGACTGGACACCCGGGCTGGAGGTGAGAACCAAAGGGGATGGGGAGAGGAAAGATGACTTTCCTCTCGAGGTGAAAGAAGTATATATTGAGGCCGAACCTTGAAAGAGATGCGGGAGGGAGCATGTGGGCTCCAGAATGATGAAATATAGCAAAAGTTTGGACATTAGTGAATGTTTTTACAGCCAGGCATGTTAAGATTCTCTTGTCTGTAGCTATTTCAAAAGAAGTCCATATATAAATTGTACATGTGCTTTTTGAAAGGCTAATAATAATAATCCTTGCATTTGATATAGTGACTTATCACATCATCAAAATATCTCAAAATTTTTCAGAGGATCCATTGCAAAGTATATTTGGAGCCAAATACAGCAGCCAATTTGCGCACAACAACATCCCACAAATAACCATGATGTGAATGACCAATTTTATCTGGGAGATTGTTGACCAGGACACTGAGAAAAACATCCTTCTCTTTTTGAATAGTGCCATGTCCACTTAAACGAGCAGACGGAACCTTGGTTTAACATCTAATCCGAGGACGGCAGCCATAGGTGGCGAGTGGCTAGTGCTAGAGGGACTCAGCCCTCCCCTGAATCTGTCTACAGCTCACCTCTTTAAGGGGAGCTGGGGGCGAAGGCCCTGATCCAAGGAGGACCACAGTCAGTCCTCCGAGCAGTACCAACCAACAGCGCCCGCGGTCACCCTCTTACCCCTCTCCCAACTCGTCATCAGGGCCCACCCACATCTGGTCCGGTAAACTGCTCATCGGAGCATCCTCACCTCTGATTGACTGATGGGCCAGTCAGTCAAGCCAACAGGTCACTTGTCTTAAGTAAACCAACCCTTCCCCCAAAGAATATTTTCACCCGCCGCCTATGATGGCACCTCTGATAATCTAGCACTCTCCAACATTGTCTTGAGACGTCCACCTGATGCAAAAGGCACTATACAAATGTCACTTGTTGTTGTTGTATCAGACTGACATCCTCGACTTTGAGATCAAAATCTTGACTTGGAACTTGAACACACAACCTTCTGACTCAGAGGCAAGCGTGCTATCAACCAAACCAGGCTTGATTGCTTAAATAACCTTTAGCTCACATCTGACTTTCTTCTCCCTCTTATTAAAGATACATGCAATAAAGAGGTTAAAATATTAAGTAAATGTAATCAAAGTGCAGACAGTGCATCCGTCATGGATGACTTCTCCTGTGGTTTACTGGATTTCCTTAGGCTCTGTTAGTTCCTGACACTGCCTTATCTCCTGATATCAGTGGAACTGATGGACCAGAAAGAAATTTGTCAAACTTGTTTCTGTTGGATTAGTCTCAGATAAATGTCTGCAATAAAAAACAAATACTGGGAAATGAATCACACAAGGGTCATTTGAGGATAATAAGTTTGACTATTAGAATGATTAAGAAAGAGATAGAAAGGCAAATTGCGGAATAACAGCAGAAGCATGCTAAATAATTTCTTTAGCTAACTAAGCCAAGATGTTGATGATCGGGTAGGTCCTTCAAAAGATAAATTGGAAGAAATATTAAAGATATAGCAGTTGAGTTGAATTATTTTTTCATTAAAACTGTCTCAGGAATTCATAACACATTTAGAGGTCAGAGAAGGGTTAGGGTTAGGGTTAGGCATTGTGAAGCAACTCAAAGCAGCTTTTCCAGGGTATCTGTAACACACCTTTGAATCCTCAAGGAAATGTGTGAAGGAAGATTCTGTTTAATTTAGAAATATCACAGTTGTAACAGATGCCTGAAGCCAACATGAAGTTAATATGGAGTCAAAATTGCAGCGTTTATACTGGAGTCAAAATTGTAGCATTTCTTCCTTTCCTTATTTAAGGAATGTTATTCAAATGTATTTTGAAACAATGCCTGACTTTTGAATAATAATAACAACACAATTCACCTGAAAAGCCCTGAGTACAACACTGCATCTTGGATTAATGCTCCATGGGGATGATTTTCTATCCGTGAAATTGAGTTTTTTTTCTGAACTTATTTAGGGGAAACTGATCTGTGGGAATCATATTGTGAACCTTGCTATCTACAATTTGCTGCTGTGATTACCTGTGAATACTACATTAGACAGCTATTACCTACAAGGCTGTTTTTACTTTATAGGTTCAATATCAAATGCAAACATGATTATTACTTATTATTATTTGACTAATCATTAAATAGACAGTTCTCCATGCTCTCGAATATCAAGAGAGGTCTGAGAAAACCTTTGGGAAAATACAAAAAGTCTGGTTATCAGAGGTTGTGTTAGATATTGACTTGGTTTCCATGAGTTCAATCCTAATTTTTATTATTACAGTTGATCAAGGTTCCACTCCAATAGAATACAAATTTACATTTATACCTGTGATTTCAGGAGCCTTGGAGCATATCCAAGCACTTAACAATCCTGGATTGGCACCCGAGCTGGGGGTGGGAGCTGAGAGGGTTGGGGAGGGGCAAGATGACTGAAAGCATGATCACACAGGTAGATACTGAGACGGACCTTGAACAAGGTGAATGACTGAGCAAATCAAAGGGACTCCAGGATTGGGTTCCAGAGAGCAGGACAGCTCACCTACCAATGATGAGGTGCTGTAGGTAACATATACAAGATGCTCCCCAGTGTTTCCATCAGTGCTATATGCCATTTTGTCTGACTGAGCTCTCACTCTTGTATGGACCATTCCCAGAAATGGTGGGGGGGAATGCGGCCACCAGAGAATGATTCACGACTTTGAAGCAACTGCACAATGCAGCTGTTGCAATGAAAACACCTCTACAATACTCCTGCAATATAAATGTGGCAGAAAACTAAATGCAAACTACTGGTCTGGAGGCCATAGACATTACGCAGGAATTAAGTAACATATGCCCGAGACTAGTGGAAGGCAAGGTCTAGGACTTGTTAAGGTCTCCAGATCTTCCCTTATCACTGTGCTGCATGCAGAGTTTAACTCTAGTCTGGTCTGGATGAAGAGGAACTTCTAGAATTCAAATCACTCCCTGTTGCATTCTTGAAATATTGTCTAGAGTGATTGTGAGACATTATACACATTTTTTGTATAGATATACTCAGAGTGAAGGCTTACTTGCTACAACCTGATCCTTTACTAAATTTATGTTCACACCTAAAATTCTTTACTGTTCCAACAGGTCATGTACACAACATCAAATACCTTTGGGTTCAGAAAATCAAACATCTCTTGCTCTTTTCTCTTGTTTTCTTTTATGACTGTTTATGCCCATAATGAGCATACATTTTAATTATTTGAGGCTATCCCAACAGTGCTCAGTAGCTGTGAATAAGGTATGCCAGATGCTGGGTTGTATTAAAAGGGCAATATTGAGCCGAAATAGTGGGGTAATCCTGCCACTTTATAAATCATGGTCGCACTTGGAATGCTGTGTGCAGTTCCGGTCACCGCAATATAAAAAAGATATTGCCATGATTGAGAGGATATAGAGGAGGGCAACCAAAATGATTGAGGGAATGGGGGGACTGGACTACGAGGAGCGATTATATAAACTGGGCACGTTCACACCGGAAAAGAGAAGGTTGAGGGGTGATATGATTATGGTCTTTAAAATTCGGAAGGGAATAGATAATGTGGATCATGATAAGCTGTTTTATCTTGTACTGAAGAGTAGAACCAGAGAACACGGCCTATGACTGAAGGGGGGTAAATTCAGAACAAATCTACAGAAACACTGCTTCAGTGAGCGAGTAGTAGATTTATGGAACAGGCTCCCGAGGGAGACAGTGAAAGCAGAAAATGTCATTTGTTTTAAGAACAAATTAGATAGATTTCTGCTATAAATAATATCTCAGGATGCAGTGTGTAGTTAGGGATATGACATGTCAAGCAACTGCCATGATGGTGGAAGGCAAACTAGATGATCCTTGGTCTTGTTTCGCCTTAAAATTCTTATGTTCCTGATTGAAGAGGAAAAATATGAATGATAACATTTGCTTTACAGGAAGTGAATCATTGTTTATAATGTTCGTTTGACTGAACGTGCATTGATTATTGTAAATACGTCAAGCTGGATACAATAATTGATTGGGGTTTATTCCACTTATTAAAGATATCAATTTTTCTGGTAAAGCTATTATAATAGCTTTGGGACGTCCTCTCGACATGAAATTCTCTTTACAAATGTAATCTTTTATTGTAACAACATATCTTATTCCATCTCATGCAGTGAACAACATCCATAAAATACACTTTTGTTTAAAAGTTGGATGTACATTCTTGAAAATGCTCTTTAATGGAATAAAGAATTGGATTCACTGCCCATCTGGAATCCTTGCTGCAGCGATCTTGTAATATCCTGAAATATATCTTGAAATATAAGAAAGTGTGAATATTTCTTCTATCACTAGTACACAAATGGAACTAAATTTAGAAGTTCTCCAGCTATTTAATCCATCAGTGGCTGCCCTCGGATATTAAATGCAACTGATCTATTGGTACCCTTTTCAATGACATACTTACACTGATTTTGATTTGATGCAAGGACATGATAGGAAGCTATATCAAATGCAGGGATTATTTAACATTCATTATTATAGTATTATTTTCTCATTATAACTATTATTGAAGTTAATACACATAACAGAGAAGGAAAAGCTGGGCTATTGTCTTACGTTATCCTGTCAAACTCTGCATCTGAATGCAGGAAACAAATTGGGACCAATAAATAGAAGTCGCTGGGAACACTCAGCAGTTCAGACAGCATCTATGGAGAAAGGAAAGTGGGTCAACGTTTCGGGTCCACGACCCTTCATCAGAACCGTGGACCCGAAACGTTGACTCACTTTCCTTTCCCCATAGATGCTGCCTGACCTGCTGAGTGTTCCCAGCGACTTTTGTTCTTGTTTCAAGCATCGGCAATATTTTGTGTTTTGTTTAGGACCAATATATGATGGAAACATTTGATAGCAGGTTTGATAATTCCAACATGTTTCAAAACATCACATTTTCTCTGCTGGACTACAATACTATGTTAAATGTACCAGATCTGAGTTACTTGCAGTAGACTATTATATTGCAAATAGGAAATCTGAGATAATGTTGTTGTTATAGGTTGGAGCATGTATTGTGAACTCTGAAAACAAGATTGTTGGCATAGGATACAATGGGATGCCAAATGGTTGCAGTGACGATCTTTTACCTTGGGCAAGAAAAGCATCAAATAAACTGGACACCAAATATTTGTATGGTAAGAACTAAAAGTACAAGGTTCTTTCTTCAGTGCACTATGAGCATTTTAAGTACATTATGGCTATTGTATAATTCAGTATGAGATACAGAACTAGAGACATCCCACTTCATAGACCTGTGCATGATCGTAGATGGTCTGATCTTTCTCTAATCCGTTCATCTCTGGAGTGGCTGTTTATTGAACGTGAAGGTAGGAAGGTACCTGGTGGAATAAGTCACGTTGCAGGACTTAGCAACATAGAAATTTTCAGCACAGAAGGAAGCCATTCCACCCACACTGTACATGTCATCTGTCTGAGACTGAAAGCCCATGTGGTGCTTGCCTGATGTAAATACTGAATCTACCACTGAGGAGGACTTCCTATAAGGGAAGTCACTCCAGCACATACTACATAATGCTGCTACAACTGGTTGGATATAGAACTCCTAAAATTAGGAACTTGAACAACAGAAACAGAAAAAATGAATGATCATGATGCCTTTACTCTTAGTTCCACTCTCCATTAAATATTGTTGGGAGTTGCTGTCTTTCGATGAGCTATTAAACCGAGATTCCCACCTGCCTGTTTTGGTGGACGTGAAACATCCCAAGAGATGAGTTGAAAGGAGAAGGATGCATCTAGGCAGTTACCTATCCAGATGAACTAAATTTGTGGGGCTTTGCTGGTGTAATTGAATGCCGAGTTTGTCTACAAAACTAGGCAATCATTGCAGTTGCACTGCCATTCATCTTTGACAGATTTCATATCAAATTTGGGTATTGAATTGACAGTGTAATTGGATTGTGTATCGCAGTATTGAGCAGTACTTGGAGATTATCTTCCAGATTCATAAAGAGGGATGATCTTTTACCCAGCAGTACTTGTAGGTGAAAGCATTTCATAACCATTCTGATATTTTAACTTCAATTTTAGCCCTTCTCCTTCAGTCTCCTTCTCCTTTGAAGACTTTAAGTGGAGTCCTGTAGCTCAGTGGTTAGAGCACTCGCTTTGCAAGCGAGAGACCTGAGTTCAATTCCAGGCAGGACGAAACCTTGGGCAAGTTTCCTTACTCCACACGCCTAATAATAATCCCTCCAAAACCCAAAACAATAATAAATTGGTCATTTTCAATCTACGACTGTTTGTGGGACATTGCTGTGCGCAATTGGCTGCCGCGTTCGCCCACAAATATACAGTCAATTCACTTTACAGTGTTCTGTGAAGCGCTTTGGGACGTCCTCCCGACATGAAAAGCGCTATATCAAATGCAAGGATTATTATTATTATAATATGAGAAACTGAAGTGGGTAGGGTTTTCAGTTATTAATCGCAGACATCTTAATGCCAAGGAAAATCAAAGGAGTCCTTAATACAAGGGCAGCTTTCTACAACTCATTGGCATACATTGGAGAGTTGTATCAGTAAACCAATACTTTATTATATGCAGTAGATGGTAACTGTGGTCTGTTGAACATTGAGCTTTGAATGTTCAAAGAGTTCTCCTAAGCAACATTCTCTACCATACTTTTCTCTTTGCTTGATTCTTTTGTCTCCAATAATCCCTGGCCTCCCCCAGTGCTGCAGCCTTTAACATCAAGCATTTGTTGAGCAACTTTTTGCTTAATTTCTCTACATGTTGTAACATTTAAGTTGCAGCTTGTCTCGTTTAGATTCAAGCCCCACATCATCACTTGAACTATTATGTAGGCTGCTGCTCCTACATTGCAGAAGGTGCTGTCCTTCAACTGAGACCGAGACAACACATCTGGTTGGTCTGCCTGTTGGCTGTTAAAGGTCGATTGCCAGTTTGAAAAGAGAAGGGAATTTCTACCATTGTCCTGTCAAGACATTTGTCCAGATAAACTGATCATTCACTTCATGGCTGTTTGTGGTACATTGGTGTGTGCAAATTGGCTGCTGCTTTTGCCAACAAAAATAACCAGTACATTTGACAATAATTATTGTAAGTGCTTTGTGATGTTTCAACGTATTACAAGAATCAAACAAGTAGGCATATAAATGACTGACCAGAATACAGGTCAGTTCGATAAGACCTTCGAAAACATCTATGGCAACCTTTTTGACTGACAACAATAAAAAAGGTAAGTGCTTTCTAAGGCCAATTATTCCTACTCCAACTGAGATCAGACAATGTATCTGCCCTATTCTCTGCCCAGAAAGGGGATTGCGAGACCCCACATATATTTTTTCAACATAAAAAAAGGATATTAAATATGCGGGGGAAAATCTATCCAGTCAAAAAGGTAGCCATAGATGATCCCTAAGGTTTTTTGTTAGACTGACCTGCATTTCTGCTCAGTCAATGCACGTGGCTCCTTCTTTGAAGCTTTTTGTCATGTTCTCTCATGTGCCTGTTGCTTATCTTCACCAGTCGAGGGCACTACTGCACTATATATGTGGAGAATACGATTTCCAAATATTGCAGTGTAGTGCAAAAAGATGAAATATTCATACAGTTGTTAGTGCTACAAATCAAAGAGTAAATTATTTTAACCTTTTATTGTGCAACTCAGGAAAATGGTTAGTGCAGGACAAGTACAACAACAACAACAAGATTCCATTTATAGAGCGCCTTTCACGTCAGGAGGACGTCCCAAGGCGCTGCACAGTTGGGTCATGACCCGAGCATTGGGGGGAAATGGTCAGGGTGAGGGGAGGGAAGGGAGGGAGAGAGGAGGGGGGAAATGGTGAGGGGAGGGAAGGGAGGGAGCGAGGAGGAGGAAGAGAGTCGAGAGGGGAGCTGAAGGCACGGTCAAAGAGAAAGGTTTTGAGACCGGCCTTGAAGGAGGAAAGGGAGGAGGCGGCGAAGGCACTGGGGGATGGAGTTCCAGAGCCTAGGGACTGAGAAGCTGAAAGCCCGGCCACCGATGGTAGGGCGGTTGGGGCGGGGGACGTGGAGCAGACCGGAGCCAGAGGAACGGAGGGTACCCATAGTCCAGCCTTGAGGTGACAAAGGCGTGAACCAGGGTTTCAGCAGCGTGAGGGGTGAGGTAGTGCCGTAATCTGGCGATATTCCGGAGGTGATGGAAGGCGGTGCCAGTTGTGGTGCGATGTGAGGGAAGGACAGCTCAGGTCGAACAAAACTCAAGTCTGACGCTTGAGAGGTGGAGAGTGCAGCCTTGGATGCTGATGCTTCAGCGCTGAGGTGCGGAGGCGCTGACGTGAGCCAATCAGGAGGGCCTCGGTTTTTCGCACGTTACCCTCTACCCTATCTTGCCACAAAAAAACAGTGCTCTGCTGATAAAGTAAGCAGCATTTTCAACTGTTTGGGGATTTTTTTAATGAAGGAATATTCGGCTGAAGCTCTTTAATGTCTTTGTCCTGGCACTTAGTATTTATACCCGAGTGTTAGCTTGGTACAGTGGGTAACGCTCTCGTCTGGGTTTTGGTTTCAAGCCACATATCTGGTGAGCCTGGCTCAGTGGTTGCACTCTCGCCTCTGAGTCAGAAGGTTGTGGGTTCAAGCCCCACTTCAGAACATGAACTCACACAGTCTAAGCTGACACTCCAATGCAGTGCTGGGGTGTGTTACATTGTCGGAGGTGCTATCCTTTGGATGAGACGTTAAACTGAGGTCCCATTTGCCTGTTCAAGGGGCCGTTAAAGATCCCATGGCACTATTCAAAAAGAGAAGGGAGTTTCTCCTGGTGTTCTTGTCAACAATCCCACAAATAAAATTGGTATTCAGTTTGTTGCTGTTTGTAGGATGTTGCTTTGTGGATAAAACAATTGGCAGCGATTATTGTAAAGTGTATTTAGGTCTTTCGATGAAAAACAGCTGGATAAAAATAAAGCTTTTTTTTCTATCTTGTATCACAGAAAAATTAAATGTTTCCTGAGGCAAAATTTATTTCTGTTTATTGAGAGACGACTGGTGATGGTGGTGGGTAGGGGTGTCTATAGTGTATATTCCAGGCTGAAACTATGATTACAGGCTGGATATTTGCAGCAGGTAAATGTTTCCCTTTTTTGTCTCTCCATTATGATTTGGGATAGCAAAGTTGTGGATAAGACCATTATATAGAGCGTTATCCTGATGTATTTGTAAGTTTCAGTGATCTGAAGTGTCTTCTTCATTTTAAACATAGACTCTCTCTACAAAGAGAATAGATTAATTGCTCATTTGAGTGAAATATTTTAATACTGGAACTCCCATATTCCAGTTACTTGGCTGGTAAATATATTTTATACAGGAAAATTCATCAATCCTGGCACTCCACAGGGTGCAGCTCAGCTGCTTCTCACACTTTTTGATCTTCCAGTAATAAAACCGCCATGGGGGGAGATAAATGTCGCAACCATCTCTGTTGGGATTTTGTTTTGGATAAAGCTGCATTCATGTAAATGGTATGATTATAAAGGTTGCAAGACATTGAAAAATGGCACCTACTTTCGCTTAGCTATAATAAGATCCCATTAGGAGTTGCTTTCTTCTAAACAATTGGAGCTTCTAATTTGCCCTTCCTGAATATTTGAAGGGGGCACTTTGCATCCTAATCCACCCCACTCCTTGGCAACCAGGGACATTTCAGTGGCTGCAACATTAGAATATCTCATTAGAGATATCTCAGATGTGACGAGGCACTATATCCAATGCAAGGATTATTATTATCAGACTGCAGACATGTGTTCGAAGCTCATCAGATCAAGCCATTCCTGGGTTGCAGGAGGCAAAATAACCCTCCCTCCCTTCCTTTTCAATGGCTCCTGACAAGGTTTAACTGTTCATGTGGATCTGTAGATCTTGCTGATTCCTTGGCAAAGGGTGGAGTGAAGGAAGAGACTACATTTGGTATCTAAGCTAAACAATACCCCACTGCCTTTGCAATCTCCTCCAGCCTTATTTTCCTTCTTGCATTTTCTGGTCATCCAACTTGACCTACTGCTCATTCCTTGCCCCTTCCTTCCCAACTGTCAGTGGCTAAGCTTTCAACGTGGCACTCTGGAACTCTTATGATAAAATCTTTGCCCTCTGGCTTCTTTCCCTACTTTTGAATCGTTAAAAAAAACACACACACCTACCTTTCTTTTTGACTATTTGAGGCAACATCCTCAACTGTGTACTTTCTCCCATCCCCTCTTCCCCACACTTTTCCAGCTTGCTCAGTGTGCGACTTCCTTTATTGTGATGTAGATCTATCAATCAGTTCAAAACCTGAGAACTAGGCTGAAATGCTGAAATGGTACAAAACAAAACAACGGTTCTTTCCCAGTGATTGTTCATCAACCTGCAGGGACATGGGGGAAATAGCAATCGTTTGATATGGACATCACTATGTGGAAGCTGAAGAAAAGTATTCAGAGAAAATTCGATGCTGGAAACCTGAAATCAAAACCAGAAATGCTAGAGCTGCACAGCAGGTGCAGTACGTGAGCATTTCTGAAAGAGGAAGATAAGATTGGCTAATGTTCTGGATAACAACAACAACTTGCATTTATATATACAGCCCAAAAATCAGTACCATTGTGTGACCTTTTTGGCAAGCCGTAGAAATTTACAGCATTGAATACAGACCTTCAGCCCATTGTGCCTTTTTTTTTAAAAAAAGTTAACGCTTCACGAATTTGTCATGCTTATGCAGGGACCACGCTAGTTTTCTCATTCCAATTTTAGTATATGTGCTGCTGAAGGAGCGCCAGCAGCAAAAAATGCGTCCTTTCTACAATTAAAATCAGAAAGGACTGGAAATTCACAGCAGGTTCCGCCCAGAACATTAGCCGACCTTATCTTCGTCTTTCAGAAACCCTCACGTTCTGCACCTGCTCTGCGGCTCCAGCATATTTGGTTTTGATTTCAGGTTTTCAGCATCGCATTTTCTCTGAACACTTCTCCAGCTTCCACAGTGACGTCCACATCAAACGATTGCCTATTTACCACATATCCCTGCAGGCTGATGAACAGCTTAAAATGGGGGCAGAGAATTCACGAGGGTCTAAATTTACTCTTTTTTCTTAGCAATTTAGAGTGTCCAGAATTTTGCAAATTCTTCAATGCAGTCTTCATTTTTGAAGCTGGTTTGCCCTAAATTTATTTTAAGAATTGCAGAAAACCGGCTTGAAAGTTGTGATTCAAGTTAAGAAATTTGCCAAATTCTGGACGCTCTGAAATGCTGCATAAATTAAAGTATTGACTGCCTGCTGTCTGACATCAAGGCTGGGTGAGCGCGAGCTTTCTGCAGCTGAATATGGACAAGACAAAGCCATCCTCCTCGGTTGCTGTCAACATCTTCTCACCTGCATTTCTGAACTCCTTAACTTTCCCTGCCTATCCCTCAGGGAACCATAATAATAATAATAACAATGTTCCTTGCATTTGATGTAGCTCTTTATCACAAAGTGCTTCATAATATGCTGTAAAGTGAATTGACTGTATATTTTGGATACAAAAATATAAAAATTGGCAGCCAATTGCACACAGCAGCATCCCACAAACAATCGTGGATTGAGTGACCAAATCAACATTTATTTATTTTTGGAGGGATTATTACCCCAAGAAAGCAATCCGCCAATCGACTAACAACTGGTTAATAACCTCTTCTGTCTGCTCATAACCTACTTCACTACCCGCTCCCTGTCTCAGCTGGCAACTAACTACTTAGTGCCACGCAAACAGAGGCTGCTGTTTGACATCAGGTTCAATTCTCCGTAATCCTTCCTACCCACATCTGGTCCTTGACCAGGACTGCCTTCCTTCACCTCTGCCATCGCCCCTATCTTAGTTCAAATACTGCTGAAATTTTCATTCTTGTTTTCATCACCTCCTGCCTCAAATTTTCCAATGCACTCCTCGCCAGTCTCCCCAGCTTCACTATTAACAAGGTTCAAATGATTCAAAATTCACCCATACCAGGGTCTGCACTCCCATCACCCTAGTTCTTGCCAGGCTCCGCTAGTTCCCTGTTGCAGAACGGATCGATTTCAAGATCTTCACTTTCAAATCTCTTCAAACTTTGGCACTTCCTTACCTCTTATATCTGCTCATAACCTACCTCACTACCCGCTGCCTTTCTCAGCTGGAAAGTGCCTCGTCCCCCCCGCTCCATCATTGGCAGCCGTGCTTTCACTAAGCCCCAATTCTCTGGAATTCCTTGCTGCATCTTGTCCGTTCTCTGCCCGTTTTTAAATCACACCTGAAGACTGCTCTCTTTGTGCCTTTGGTTGTCTCTCTTTTCTCCCCCAACACTTTCCAGCTCAGAGTCAAGCCACACCACTGTTAAGCACTCCGATACACTTCCTTGGGGCTAAATAAATGCTTGTTGCCTTTGTCGTAAATCTAAATCCAGGCCGACACTCCAGTGCAGTACCAAAGGAGATTTGCTTTATTAGAAGTTTTGTCTGTTGGATGAGACCTTAACCCAATGCCATGTCTGCCTTTTCTGGTTCAGTTCCCATGACACTATTCCGAAAAACAGCAGAACATTCTCCTAGTGGCTTGTCAGTATCAACTGATTAATTATTTTGGGGACTTTGGTAGAACAGAGTTGTTGCTGTATTTGTCCATGTTACAATAGTCACTGCACTTGAATAAAAAAAAACCCTTATTTCAAATGAGTCATTTTGACATTCTGTAGTTCCATTTGATACAGTGCCTTATTATAATAATTAAATTTTGTATAGCACCTTTTATTATCGGGAGGGCGTCGTCTCAAAGTGCTTCACGGGATATACTGTGAAGATTGGTAACTATTTTGTAAGCAAAAACATAAATTATCTGTTACATAAAAGGAATCTTTTCAGCTGTCAACAGGCTAATGCTGCACAGTACAGACCGAGTATAATCCCATCGCTCAACCGTCATTACTGAGCTAGGGTGTAGTCGTTGAGATGGGTTGCTCACCACTTTGTCTGCGAAAATAATTTAAATGCCCTTAAATCCTCCTTCCTCCTCTCCTGATTCATTGCTCCCCTATATAGTCGTCTCTGAAAAGTACTTTGAGGTATTTTTATTTCTCCTACCATAAAAGGTGCTAGATAAATACAACTTGTTTCATGAACCTTGTTTTTGATTGTAATTCACCTTTTGAACATTTCATTTAGTTTGCCACGCGGAATTAAATGCAATTCTGAACAAGAACTCTGCCGATGTGAAGGGATCCACAATGTATGTGGCCTTGTTTCCCTGTAATGAATGCGCTAAACTCATCATCCAGTCAGGTAAGATTTAACTGTTGCACCATTTCCATTTGCTGCATTTGTGTACTGTTTTGTAGCTCAATATCTCATTTATAAAGCAACTTCTTTTTTAAACTAGTACCCTTTGATCCAAATTAATCATACTATCAGTTTCACAAAAACATATCTGTTTCTGTCCCTGAATGGTGTCAGAATCCAAATGACTAATTGCCACATGTGCAAGTCTTAACCTGTTTTTAATTTAAATCAGCAGCCTTCTAAAACACGGGCTGCCAAAGCAGAACACGAGCAGTGTACATAATTAATGTCAGGTTGCAGTGCAAAAAGACCTTGAATATATATTTGAAAGATTACTGGGGGAATTATATGGTTGCAGATGGATTTGGTTGGGGCAGCGCACTTTGTGATCAATTTATAAACCGGACAAGATTGCAGTCTTAAATTATATACTCATAATTTCCATACATGCTGTGGTGGAGTTCCAAAAGCTGATTTATTTACAACTATTGTATAATTGTATTCAAGGTTTGAGAAGTTTTGACATTTATTTTGTTAGACTGTAATAAAAAGGTGTTAAACTCTCCTGTTTAGATAAGGATTTTCAAAGGTAATAATTGGGCCTATTAATCTGCTGCTCACATCTGTATTGTTAAACTACCTCCACCCAATTGTCAAAGGATCTTCATCTAACAAAGAGTGCTCTGCAAAAACGAATAAGTAATATTTTTGCTTAAAAGGGTTGAGAAGTCTTCTCTTGCTATGATGATCGATGGCTCTTCCTCCTCTACTGAGGGCATTTAACTCCTTTTCCTTCTGGTGTCTGGTTCTTTTCGTAACTTGAATGCAGGATCATCATTCATGTGTTGAAGTTTCCCGGTGATGGCTGGTAGGCTTCTCGAAGGGCATTCCAGCCTTGATCGTATATACTCACACCTTCAAACAGGGGTCTCCAAATAGTGATCTGGAAGAGGAAACTTGGCTGATTTTATCTCCTTTTTTAGGCCAGAGACCAATTGTGGTACCCCAAGTCTGAATGACTCAATGCTGCATTGCACTGATACAATGATTTTAAGAATGCGCACTTATATTTCCCCCCTTGTATTCTTGGGTGTATCACGTAACATTGGTGCAATGTCAGATTATTCTAAACTCAGTACCTCAGTCCTTGATCTGTGCCATGCTGCTGGTAGACTGGGTTATTCCCCAGAGGTAGAGGGTAGGAAGAATATCATCACTTGCCACCTCATGGTCAGCTGAAGAGTGGTAAGGGTCACAGGTCTGGGTTCTGGTTAAGATCCTTTGGCTGCAGTGGCTTTATGGCTCAACAAAATCTCTATTATGGAAATGGGGGAGCGGAAGGTGGGTGGGGTGGTGGGGAATACATATCTACGGATTCCAGCATTTATTTTGTAGGAAATGTTTGAAGGAAAAAGATGACTAATGTACTACAGTAAAACTGGGTTAGATAGCAGGGCGTGGGACTGCACAGCTGCTGCAGCTCTCTACGCTAGCTTATTTCTAAGTGCTACTTCGTATATTAATTTATTTCAAACAGGGTAAGTTTTAATAAAAAAAAGCTTGGTAAAACATTTATGATCACATATTGAGAGCAGTAGATAATTCGTCCAATATCACAACAACCATCTCTGGATGAGACTTTAAACCAAGGTTTCATCTGCCTTTTCAGGTGGATGTTAAAGATCCTATGGAATTATTTGAAAAGAGAAGGGAGTTTCTCCTGGTGCCCTGGCTAATGATTCCCCCCTAAAATAAAATTTGTCACTCCATAGCTGTTTGTGGAACATTACTGTGCACAACTGGCTGCTGCGTTTCACCCACAAAATATACCTTACAGTATATCCTGTGAAGCGCTTTGATACGTCTCACTGACATTATAAGTTGCTGTATCAAATGAAAAGATTATTATTGTATTAGTGATAATGCCACCAACAGTGGGATCAACTACATTGAAAGATTTTTATCTGCTCCTTTTGAAGTAAGTTTTTTTTAAAAAAATCCTATTATTGAGTAGTGAGGGCACGAGGCAATCATGGAGCGGGTGGTAGACATGCAAGAAAAGCAAACTGCGGTGAGAACTGCGGGGTCAATCAGAATATCACGGCTTCAATCCTTACTTTGCCTTTGTGCACTCAAAGGATTGTAAAATGAGCAGCCTCTCACTGCCTTGCCACTGTGCCTGTGATCTCTCAAAGCCAACAAGAGTAAATGTAATTTTAAAAGGCAGCTTTCACAGCAGAACTGTAATTGTCATCTGCAGAATTTTATTTGAAAACTTGAAATGAGCGAGATCCAAAAAATTATTATAATGGTCTCCCGAAGATCCAGTGGGTAGAGTCCTCACCCAGTGCAGCAGATGGGTGCTGCGTTAGCTGATCTCAGCCTGGGCAGCAAAAGAGGTACAGTAACTGAGCGAGGAGGGGGAAAAGCAGCTGTATCTCTAGCTGCATGGAGCTGCATTTAACTGGACGTCGATGATCCACAGGTTCGATCTCTGCTGTAATGTTCCGCATTCCCTCTCCCCTCTGAGAAATCCATGCAGTTACAGTGTGTGTGTGTGTCCGTGCGTGTGAGCAGTTAACGAATCTGGACAGCTTCACCAGCTGCAGTCAGGATGAAGTTGGTGGAGCACCTACACACATCACAGTCAGTAAACCGTCACTCTGAACTATTGTTTTCCTGTCGTGCTGCATTTTCATCCAGGAAGTGGGGTGCTGTGTGCAGTCTTTGCATACCAATGTTCTCCTCGCTGTGTTGGTGTTGCTTTGATTGATGTCGAGCCAGTAAGTTTGGAAGCTGAACACTGATTTAGACCATTGGATTTATTCTTCTCTGAATGTTATGACATCCTTCTTTTAGGAAACAATTACTTAACACTTTTTTTGTATTGGCAAATTCAAGATTGGGGATAAGATCTCTGTCTGATCGACTTTTTCACTGCAGTAAAAGTGCACAAGGGAACAATGCAGACAGCTTGGTGTGTGAACTGTGTGCATACAAACCAAACGGATACTTAAGCCACCTGTTAAGACAATAATTGCCTTATAATGCTTAAACTTATAAAATTCATGTCAATGGATTAAAGAAATGTTTCCGTTTATTTGATTCGGAAACCATTTTCAATATTTATCATATTTTTCAAGCGATTTTTCTTTACCTTTCACACATTCCACTTTCATACCATTGGTGACTCGAGAACATACTGTTCCAACTACAGGACAGTGTGATAGAACACTCACTGTTCACTTTAGAGGGTGAAGCTACTGTGGACTCGTGCCATGTAGTCCTGGTTTCCAGGTCAGCGGGTCAACACGAAAACCCCTTCCTCTGTATCATCACTTCCTGCATGAGCTATGCAGCGGAAGGGATGCTGATGTCACTTTACAACGGATGTGATGTCAGCAGAACTTCCTGTTCATCCCTGCATCAGCGACGACCTGTAAGTGGGCCATTTTGTTGTATTTCATTGTCACGCCCCCGAGATATTGGAGCCGGACAACATTATCTTAAGTAAATTCCAGCAGCCGTGTTCAACAGTGGAACACTTTGTGGCGCACGGTACAGTTACAGTCTGCCTTTTATACATTTCCTTTTTCCCTTCCTTCTAAAATGTTCTCTTGCAGATGTCACATTTGCAGGAGCCTTAAGCAATGTTTGTTCTGCAAGCTTCCGTGGAATTGCAGTCTGACACTGATGAGAAACTCAGACTTCCACGGGCCTAATTGGAAGTCACACAGAGGTGTTGAACCTACCTGTAAAGAAAGTTCCAGCATTTAGTCAGCCTCTGGTACCCTAGAGAGCTCAAGAGATTGTTTTAATACAGATACATGAGAAATCTCGCCTATTGAATCGTTCATCCAGTAATACCTCAGCAGCCAGGACAGAATTCGCTTCAGGCGCCCTAGGAGTTTTACAGTACACTGAATTCTGACCTATATGTTACTTTGGTAACCATATCTTTTTTAATGATGTGTCAAAGATTTATAATAATAATATGGTGACCCTGTGGAATCTTGTAGCTCAGTGGTTAGAGCACTCACAAGCGAGAGACCTGGGTTCTCTTCCCGGTAGGGCGAAACCTTGGGCAAGTTTCCTTATTACACATGCCTAATAATCCCTCAAGGAAATAAATAAAATAACAATTTGGTCACTCAAACCATGACTGTTTTGAGACACTTCTGTACACAATTGGCTGCCGTGTTTCGCCCACAAATATACAGTCAATTCACTTTACAGTATATTTGAAGCGCTTTGGGACGCCTAGAAGATGTGAAAAGCACTATATCAAATGCAAGGGTTATTATTATTATACTCTTTTTCCCACCCCCAACCCAAAACAAAAATGTGTTGTAATATTTGAGCATTAACGGGTATTAAATTCTAGTGTGGAGTAAGCTGTGGGCTGTACAGATAGTGAGGGAAAAGGCAAGGTTCAATGGTCTTTTGGAAAAACATGGAATCCAAGCTTTTTTGTCAGAATTTTACAGTTTGCTATTATGTGTCAGTCTGCCTCAGTCGGTAACACTTTGCCTCCGCGTCGAAAGGTTGCGGACTCAAGCCCCATATCAGGACTTTGAACTTGTATAGTCGAGACTTGACACTTCAACACAGTGCTGGGAGTGTGCTGCATTGTTGGAGGTTTAGTCCTTCGACTGAGTTAAAACTGAGGACCTGTCTGCTTGTTCAGATGGTGGCTAAAGATCTCATTGCACTATTCAAAAACAGAAGGGCGTTTGCCCTGATCTGGCCAACTATCCACCAAATAAAATTAGTCATTTACTTCATTGCTATTTGTGGGACTTTGCTGTGCACAAATTGCTGCATTTGTCTACAAAATACAATCACTACACTCAAGGCAGTAAAATCCCTTGAAGCACTTTTAGATTTCCTACCATCAAATGTAATTATTATTACCAATTGTAAGTCCTGCGTGTTATGTCAAATCATATTGAATACAATATATTACGAAATTCGCACAGAATGCAATCTGAATCTCCATTTGAGGGTGTATTACATCAGCATTTAATGCATTTTTTTGCATTTTTTGTCTAGGCATAAAGAAAATTATTTACATGTCCGATAAGTATTGTGAAATGGCAGAAATGAAGGCCTCCAAGCGTCTTTTAGATATGGCTGGTGTAGAATGTAGGTAAGTAGAAGATGCAGTGTTGGAAAGCGCAATAGTGACATATGATGAGCTATGAAAATCCTCCAGGTGTTTTTTGAAAGATGAAAATTGTGATATGCACAGAGATACACTTTTGTGCTATTATTCCGATTTGTCTTTTTAGGGAGAATACATCTTCCTACCAATTCATAGTTGTGCAGAGGTGACGTGAAGAAATCCGGAGAGGACCATTTACAGCATGTTCTGGCTGGTTCCTTTTTCTAAAATAACATTATCTTTTCATGGGATGGGGGAGTGGAGTGGAGGGTGGAAAGCTTGAGTTCTGTTTCTTCCTCCCTTCGCTCCCCCTTACTTTGGAAGCAATTTTAGCACCCTGAATCCTGTCCAGCAGAGACCAACAACTTGCATTTGCATCAGTAACCTCACGTCAACCCACAATTGAATTCTGCAGCTCTATATGGCCTTGGCTTGACCTAGCAAGTCATTGATAGAGCCGTACGAGCATTGCTAATGGAGTTTACAGGGCAAACATTTGCCTCTCGTAACTACATTAACATTAGTAACCAGTTGTTTTTTCATTGATTTTTATGGCAGTCTTGCAAGTAAACATTCTTTTTCTTAACCTGAGCTCTCCTCAGTTATCTAAAACAATCTTGTGTCCTGTGTGTCAGTTACATCTCGGCTGCCTTCACTTCCCTTTTGTTTGAGTAGAGGTCATGGCACTGTGCAGTAGTCAGATGAAAGCAAATAGTTTAAAAGAAGCTTTCCTTTTTAGTTGAATAGTAGCAGTGGGAAACTGATCATAAAGGTCCCTAGTTTGATCTGAGTTGGGGGTGGGGCTTTAAATGCTATGATTGCCCTCAGCCTTCCGGGCTAGGGAGAGAAATATCTCCTGGTTACTGGGAAATATGGATGTTGGGTGACGTTCCACAGTTGAACTTTCAATCATAAATCACTTTCTAAGTTTGCAGGTTAATGTTCTTGTCATTTGTTTCAAGAACAAATTAGATAGATTTCTGCTAGAAAATAATATCTCAGGATACAGTATATAGTTAGGGACACGACATGTCAAGCGACTGCCAGGGTGGTGGAAGGCGAACTAAATGGATCTTGGTCTTCTTTCACCTCGCAAATTCTTATGTTTGTATGTTAAAAATTCATTGGGCGGGGGAGGTGATAATGAACTTCATAAGTCCTGACTCAAGTATAAGTTGATCACCATGAGGAGAGGAATAGACAATCTGAGAAATGTCTCAGTGGTGGAACCTATTAACTCCTCATCAGCACAATTGACACTGAGAGCAAATCAGAAGTGATTTTAAACATGGTGCAGTGTGTTAGGTGAGTATGATTACCATCATATGGCTGTAGTACTGTACAACATGAACCATAGTTTTTCGAGCCCAACACTGCAGACTCACTTGCAGCAGGCATGAAAACAATTTGGAAGCAATGCCAGTTACTCAAGATTTTTTTTTTGATAATGCTTGCCTAAGATATTGTTAAGAGATAAGCCTATAAAATAACTGATTCCATTGCACACACAACTAACTGCTGGCATTTTGAACTCGTTTCTAGGCCTCTTTTCTTCAAAAGGTAACCAAGATTAGCCCTCAAAGCATTCTAACCCACTAATAAGTGTTGTTGAGGATACTTTTCCTCTTTGGACTTTCCTCTTTATTCATCTGGTGTAAAGGCACTCTGTATAGGCACTTACCTGTAGCCCGTTTTGGGGGGAGCTGGCTGCATGTGCATCAGGTGGGAAAGGTTATTTAATTAGTTTCACAGAGTGCCAGGATTTGACTTTTCTGCAGCCTAAACTGCTGAGAGATTATTTTCATTTCTGCTATTCTAACTAAATTTCCTACACAAGGAAAAAATTAGGGAACCTTGCTGTTGATTCCTATCGAGCGACACCCCTGCTTGTATGGATTTCTGTTAAGAATAGGAGATGTCTAAGCTTTGCTGCCTCCCAAGATTGGGTAACCTTCTCATTCCCACAAATATGGAATGGCTACTTAGGTCAGGAACCAGAGCAAGTACTTGTGAGTGTCTCCAGATTACCGGCTGTTGCTTGTTGTGTTAATCTTTTCCGTCAATACATGATGAAAAGTGACAAATTTCATCCCATTTGAAATCTGAAATTATTTTGTGTACTAATCTACTTTTTTGTTTTTGTTTAATGCAGTCCATTTACTCCGAAGCACAGAAAGATTGTCATCGATTTTGATTCAATAAACAAGATTGAAAATCGTGACATAACGTGCTCCACTGCCCCTGGGTGTTCCCACTGAAGCCTCAAATCCTCCACTGCGGAGAAACTCAATTGCTCCTTTTTATATCTTGAATTGTATTTTTAAAAAAAAGTTTAAATGTTGGGTTAGGACTAAACTGCTGTTAGATGTACGTAAGGTACTGTAATGTGCTTTTTGTTTCCACAACAAGAATTTCTTTCATACAATATTGTTAACAGAAGGGGTGTGAGAGGAAACTCTGTGAGATTTATTTTTGAAGCTTGTTTTAGAAAGAATTCTACAGAGGCAAATGTTATTGGAGGAGGGTGTTACATGTTGCATATTTTTTAAAACAAATGTATTTGCTAAAACAAGCAAAAAGCACTCCGGGACACTGCCCTGCATGAGGGGTGCTATATACATGTAAGTTGTTGTTGTATACACTTTGGTTGCTTAGGAATTGTATGTGGGAAATTTTGTTTTCGTTTACTTACATTTGACTTGTGGGAATAAAATACAGGTGGAGATAAAATATTTTATTTATTAAATAGATAGGGTGGAGTGGGGGAAGAATCCCCTTCACCTTTGCATCCAGGGGTGGCTTAGATAAGCAATGAGCCCATTTCAGGGCTGTGCTCGTCTCATTGTGTTAACCTCAGTAAGAATGCTCCTTTCCTTTTCAATAGTGCATCATTTTACATTCAATATCAATTGTGGAGTCCTGTAGCTCAGTGGTTAGAGCACTCGCTTTGCAAGCGAGAGACCTGAGTTCAATTCCAGGCAGTGCGAAACCTTGGGCAAGTTTCCTTACTCCACACGCCTAATAATAATCCCTCCAAAAAAAACAAAAACAATAATAAATTGGTCATTTTCAATCTACGACTGTTTGTGGGACATTGCTGTGCGCAATTGGCTGCCGCGTTTGCCCACAAATATACAGTCAATTCACTTTACAGTGTGTTCTGTGAAGCGCTTTGGGACGTCCTCCCGACGTGAAAAGCGCTATATCAAATGCAAGGATTATTATTATTATTATTATATCTGGAAACATCTGTTATAAGCTCACGTGATAACGTGTGTGTGTGTACATATATATCCTCAGAAACCTAGATCTACATATCACTTAGACTTAATTTCAGCTACTAAGTTGGATAGTAATATCCATTTTCTGAAAGTTAATGTAAGTGATTCATTTGTTGTAATCACAGGGACATGCTATTCAATAAAATCTCCGGTGATGGGCCATTTGTAATGTATGCATCACATTTACTCTACAGCATCACTGAGAAGAAAATGGAGGTAATTGTTAATGTTATTATCCGTCTAAACAAAACAAAATCCTGGAGAAGAAGAAAAGGAAACCACATATGGATGGGATAGAACTTGCTAATGAGGAAGCTGAAAGAAATCTATGGGTGTTAGGTGACTAATTGTTCATCATGTCAAAGGAGTGTGAGGCAACAATAAATGAGGCAAACGGGATGTTGGGCTACATCCCCAAATCAGTTTGGGATCAGTTAATTCAGATTAATGAGCTATAAGCTTAGCTTCTTCAGTCTTAAAGGGAGAAATCTCAGACAGAACCTTATATGTGTGTAACATTTTAAATGTGATTGAAGCAGTAAACTTGGAACAATATTTTCACATGCACAAGGATGAACAAGAACTAAGTTTAGAATTCCAAAGAGCAATTTCAGGACTGACATTGGCAAGTATTTCTTTATCTAGAGAGTAATTAACGAATGGAACAGGTTACAGGAAGAGTGATTGGGACCAGGAAGCTGGAGTCGTTTTTAAAAAAACTCAATGCTGTGATGGGAGGATGTAAGGGGAGTATTCAGGAAGGATGAGATCAACTGAGCTGAAGGGAACTACATCCAAACTGATCTTGTAAAGACCAGAAAAGAAACTCTTTCAGAATGTATGACGTCTTTCTAATGCTACTTCTAACTCCATGACCTGTCAGAATAGGTGTCTAGAGATTATGATGGAGCATTTTGTCAATACTGCATGCTGAGAACTTATATTTAAATTCTCATTGATTCAGAATTGATGCTTTTCATAACTAATGTTTAAAGAAAGTGCAGGTGTTTAACCTTTGTTTTATCAATATTATGACGTTGACAATCTAAAAAGGTCAGCAAACTTCAAAACAGCTTTATTTGCTGACAGGCTTTTGTTATAGAGAAACGTGACCTCAATACGTTGGAGAGATACTCAAAAAGCATGTACTTCAACATCTGTCCAAAACTGCAATAGAGGGCTAAGCTATCAATTACCTTCACTTAAAAGGTAATGAAACCTGACTACGGTAAATTAATGACATATATTAGAGGCAGTGATAGCACCAGCAATTATAGCTCCTGTGGCATCTCAGAATGGGAGGTAAACGAGTCAGCAACTGAGTTCCATTGGAATTGTTCTGGCTTACATTTTTTCCTGCCCTTAGGCACAGTTCATATATCATCCCTGCTGCTGCTCTTGATTTTAAAATTGAATTAGTAGGTCACGATGCATACAGTGCAAAGCATACTGACTAGCAGATATTTTAATGGTCTGAGTCCCATAGCCAGACTCACTGAAAAGTTCCTGTGCTTATACCACTATAACATGCTCAGTCTCCACCTATTAGGGAAACCAAATCATGATTTTGGCCTCACAGTCTAGGTTGCTACTCCAATGCTGGGGGTGTGCTGCATTGTTGGAGGTGTCCGCTTTCAGACGAGACGTTAAACCGGGGATCCGTCTGCCTGTTCATGTGGATGCCAAAGATCCTATGGCACTATTCAAAAAGAAAAGGGAGTTTCTCCTGACACTGGCCAACAATCCCCTAAATAAAACTGGTCACTCACTTCATGGCTGTCTGTGGGAAATTGATCCCTGTGTGAAGGGAGCGATATAAATGCAAGTTGTTGGACATTGCTGTGTGTAAATTGGCTGCCAAGTTTACCAACAAATACACAGTTTCTACTATGCTTCACAATAAAATGTGTGGAAGTGCTCTGAGATGTCTTGACGACGGGTTAGCTATACCAAGTGCAACATTTATTAGATTGAATGGGTGGGGAGAGAAGCCTTTTGTTGCTTGAATAAGGCTGCTGAAACTTTAGTGAGAAGTCAGCGGGTTATTGTGGAATACATTGTGCACAAACGGCTCACACGTGTGTTTGAACAAGTCAATACCATTGCCAATAAACTAACAAATGAGCTTTGTACACCGTAACCAGATGGAGGTTATTGCTTGATTCTAGCAGTTCTTTACATTTCTCTCGTCAAACACCAAGCAGCCAGTGGTGTGATTGGCACGCAGGGACTGATCAGCACTTCCAACCTTCTGCTGTGGATTTCGACACACTATATCTTATTTACTCTTTTACTCTTTTGAGAGGATTTTTGATTAAGAGGAAAGGCAACAGGGAAGGCGCTGTAACTTAAAAAGCTTATAAGCCAATGGGAGGAAAGAACTGGCAGTTCAAGTGTGAAGGTTAATAAATAATCCTTACATTTAATAAAGCAAACAATCACATCAGAAAGCATATTGGAAAATATTCTGAAATGTACAGTGACTATAGGTGAGCACTGTAGCCAATCTGAACACAGTTCAGTCCAGCAAATAATCAAAATGATGACAAAATATCTCAGGTGGGGGGGGTGGGATTAATTGTCAGGACATCAGAAGAGAATTCACCAACTAATACACACTACACTTTGCAATGTATCCTCTGTGATGTCCTCCCCATGTGGAAGACACTATATCAAATGTTGGGATTATTATCCTTATGTATAGTGTGACGGGATCTTTAACATCCACTTGAACAAGGAGGCACAAGACATTGGTTTAGTGTCTCATCTGAAGGTGAATGAATTTGATAATGCAGCTTTCTTCCAGCACAGCTGTCAGTCTAGAGTCCAAGAGTTCAAAGATCTCCAATGACACTTTGCGGACTATTGCAATGTCAAATTGGCTGCCATGTTCGCTAACAAGGTACACAGTCACTACACTTACAGATATTCCTATGAAGTGCATTGAGACTACATCAGATATATTTTCACTCATTATTTTCACTAATTATACATATTTTCGCGTTTAGCACAAGGATCTACCCACTTTCAGAAATTGTTCCCTCTGCAGAAATCAGCTTGACTGTTGAAGGAGAAACACTTCTTCAGTCAAACAAAGCAACTCGTCTACAGTAACTAGATTCGCTCAGGGAGGCTAGAAAATGGATGGCTTTGCAAAGTGGCAAAGACTGCTATCACCTTCTGCGATACAGTATTTAAAAGTAAAACAATTGCAAAGTGTTGGATTAATCTACCCTTATTTTTCAGTTGACTAAACTGAATTCTCTGCAAAAGTTATTCAGATACTGTTTTTTTTGCTGCAGGTTCCATTGCTGAATTGTGTGTTTGGATCTTCAAGTGTCAGGGTTAACTTGATCTTTTATAACTTCCACAATTTGTATTTTAGGTTCTCAACAGGTGGGTTTCATGGACAAGCTGTTTTGTGAGAACAGTGCAAGTTCAAGCATTTTAGCACTGTACAGTCAAGGTGGAAAGTTTGAGAGCATCGCACGGGACCACGATCGATTATTTTGCGTTATTTTGCTGCTTAATTGCACAGTGGAACCTCAGCACAGTTTTACAAATCATTACAGTCCATCTTTCAAGCCTCAAACTTTATTTCAAGTAAAGTAGATGACCCCAGATGGTTTGGGTTTGATTGGCTCTGATAGGTTCACTGGGGATTTGGGGTTTAACACAGATGCTTCTTTTTTTTAGTTTTTCAAAAAGACAACTGCTTCTTTGACCAGCGCCTGAGTTTTTGTAAAAGGCTGCCTTTCATCTTAATGAGCCTTGTGTTTGCTTGACTCCATTTATGGGCCTTGAGCTGGGTTTCACTTCACTGAACTTGAAAAGGAAGCTCAGATTCTCCATTGCCTGCTTCTAGGATTGCAGCCGGTTAAAATACCTTTATTTTGTATTATTTAATGCTGTGGTAAGAAAAGCAGGCTAATCTTTAAATAGGCCTCCTAAGATAATTCTGTCCTGTGAGGCAGCGAAAAAGCTCAACAACTGCAGATTCTCAAGTGATTTACAACAACAACAAGATTCCATTTATAGAGCGCCTTTCACGTCGGGAGGACGTCCCAAGGCGCTGATTTAAGAGGCATTCAATAAAAGCTACATCTTATTTTCCTGGGCAGTGCAAATTTTGTGGTTTGTTTCGTAGCTTACTACAAGACGCTATGTCTTTTTGGTGCCAATTTTCTATTTTCCTCCACTGGCACTGGCATCTCTCAGGTACTTTGCTCAATTCTTCATCCTTGCATTTTATATAGTGCCTTATCACACTGTTGGGGCATCTCAAAGCGCCTCAAAGAATATACAGTACTGTGAAGTGAATTGACTATATTTTGTGGGAGAAACACAGCAGCCCAATTGCTCACACCCAAAAACAATTGTGGATTGAATGACCAATTTATAATTTTTTTTGGACACTAGTGGGCATAGCACCCAAGCCCAATACTGTCC